GAGGATGATAAAGCCATCATCAGAAAATCTTTGTACAAACACACAATGATCTGAAGAAGTCTTCTTGTATCCTTGCTCCCCCATAACAGACTCAAACTTCTTGTACCACTGTCTGGGAGCTTGCTTCAATCCATATAGACTCTTCTTAAGTTTGCATACAAGATTTTCTTTACCTTTTGCCTTGAAGCTCTCAGGTTGTTCCATATAAATCTCCTCTTCTAAGTCACCGTGAAGAAAAGCAGTCTTCACATCCATCTGCTCAATTTCCAAATCAAGACTAGCAGTCAAACCAAGAACTGTCCGAATGGAGGACATTTTCTCAACAGGAGAAAATATTTCGTCAAAGTCAATACCTTTCCTTTGACCAAATCCCTTGACAACCAATCTAGCTTTATATCTGGGCTTCAAACTATGTTCTTCAGCTTTAACTTTGAACACCCACTTGTTCTTCAAAGCTCTCATGCCCTTAGGCAATTTCACCAACTCATAAGTATGGTTCTCATGTAGAGATTTCATATCATCTTGCATGGCTTCAATCCATTTATCCTTGTGCTCATCTTCTATGGCCTCCGCATAACATTCAGGTTCTCCCCCATCAGTGAGTAATGCATACTCATTGGGTGAATAACGGGAGGAAGGAGTACGTGGTCTAGAAGACCTCCTGAGTGGAATATCTAACTCGTCGACAGCATCGTGAGTAGGAGCATATGCCTCATCAACATTAGCATTGTTATCACCATCATCATCAATATGCTAATCTGGAATATGGTTCTGGGCATCACCATCATCATTGAGCCCACCAACGTCATCCGCATTTGTATGAGGAACTTGATCAAGATTAATTAAACCTTCAGAACTTGGAGATTTTAGCTTCTCCGCTTTGTTAATATCTTCAATGATTTTTTCCTCCATGAAGATAACATCACGACTTCCCACGACCTTCTTCTCAATTGGATCATATAGCCTGTAACCAAACTCATCAAGGCCATAACCAATGAAGATGCACTGCCTTGTCTTGGCAGTTAATTTTGACCTCTCATCTTTAGGCACATGTACAAAAGCTTTGCAACCAAACACTTTCAAGTGGTCATAGGAAACATCCTTGCCATACCAAACTCTGTTTGGAACATCACTTTGCAAAGCAACCGCAGGGGATAAATTAATAACATGTGCGGCGGTCAACAAATCCTCACCTCAAAAGGAATTCGGCAACTTTGCTTCAGAAAGCAAACATCTGACTTTTTCCATCAAGGTCCTGTTCATCCTTTCTGCTAAACCATTAAGCTGAGGAGTCTTAGGAGGAGTCTTCTGGTGTCTGATACCCTGTTGCTTGCAATATTCATCAAACGGTCCACAATATTCACCACCGTTATCAGTACGAATACACTTCAGCTTCTTTCCAATTTCTCTTTCAACTGAAGCCTGAAACTGCTTAAAGACACCCAACACTTGGTCTTTAGTCTTCAAGATATAGACCCAAAGTTTCCTTGAGCAATCATCAATAAAGGTAGCAAAATAAAGTGCACCACCCGAAGTCCTTGTCTTCATTGGACCACATAAATCTGAATGCACCAACTCAAGCAACTCTGTCTTTCTTGAAGGAGGATGAGACTGGAAAGAAACTCTTTTTTGTTTTCCAGCCAAGCAGTGCTCACATTTTTCTAATTTTGCACTTTCGAAATTTGACAACAATTTCTTCTTGGCCAGAACATTTAGTCCTTTCTCGCTAATGTGGCTAAGCCTCTTATGCCATAACGTTGAAGAACTATTGCTCTCAACGGCATTCACCATATCAACACAGGTAGAGGCCGTAGTCCAGTATAGACCACGACGCTTTTCACCACGAGCCACAATCATGGAACCCTTAGTGAGCTTCCACTTTCCAGCACCATTGGTACTGATATATTCCTCATCATCCAAAACACCAACAGAGATCAAGTGCAAACGAACATCAGGTGCATGCTTTACATTGTTTAAAACTAGTTAGTTCCAATACTAGTCTCCAAACAAATCGTTCCAACACCAGCCACCCTAGATACAGTCTCATTACCCATACTCAAAGTTCCAAAGTCACCTTGAGTATAGGATGAGAAAAATTCCTTCCTTGATGTCACATGAGATGCGGCACCATTGTCCACAACCCAGGTTGACTCATCACAAGCAATATTTATCAGATCCGCATCAAGGACAGTAATAAGATCTTCTGTAGTGATGGTGGCCACACGATTGCCATCTTCTTTCTGTTCTTCCTTGTCTCTATTCTCCTTTTTCAAAATCCGGCAGAACTTCTTTGTGTGCCCTTTCTTCCCGCAATGATAGCACTCAATATGTTAAGTCTGCTTCTAGATTTGCTTCTATTATGTTCTCTATTTTGAGAACCCTGATTCTTGCTTCTCCCCCTAGAGTCGGTCACCAAGACATCTGATGAGGAGGAACCCTGAGATTTTCTTCTCATCTCTTCATTTTAAAGGCTGCTCTTGGCAAGATCCGTAGAGATCACACCATCCGAAGTAGAATCTGATAATGAAGTTCTAAGAACTTCCCAAGAATCTGGTAGGGAACCAAGTAGAAACAAGCCTTGAATTTCTTCATCAAATTTAATGCCCATAGCAGATAACTGGTTCATGATCCCCTGAAAATTATTCAGATGATCTGTCATCGCGGAACCATCGTGGTATTTTAAACCCAACATCTGCTTTATCATAAACATGTTGTTGTTTCCAGTTGTTCCGAGCATACAAACTTTCAAGGTGCTCCCATAGGGTCCGAGCATGTGTCTCCCCAAAAATATGGTTCAAAACATTAGCGTCAACCCACTGTCCAATAAAGCCGCAAACCTACCTGTGTATCAAATTACACCCTTCATTTGATCTATTATTAGGCTTTTTAGTGGTGAAGATAGGTTGATGAAAATTCTTGACATAGAGCAAATCTTTCATTTTGCCCTTCCAAATGGCATAATTTTTGCCACTCAAAGTAACCATTCTACTAGTGTTGGCTTCCATCGTTTATCACAAATACAAATATTATTTATTATGAGACCAAAGTAATTCTTTTCTGATGTAGAAGTTCAGACTGTGTTGCAACCACAGAGCATACTCAAACAGAACCTTGGCTCTGATACCACTTGTTGGGAAAAAAATAGACCCGCAAAAATAATATTCACGATATTAGTGATAAACGTGGAACACTAAGTTATGGTTAAATCAACAAGAATAAAAGTGCAGCAATAATGACACCAAGATTTTACATGGAAACCCTTCTGAATAAGGGAAAAACCACAGCCAAGAAGAGCAACCGATATCACTATAGCAAGGAATTTTACACTGTGTAGTAACGAGTACAAATACTCCTAAGACCACTACACCCTCAAAAGAAAAAAACACTATTTTGCTTTCTTTTTTTCACTTCACTACAATATCTCTCACACTCTATTTTTCTTTAGAGACTATTTTCTTATAGTCTATAGAATACCTTGCTCTCTCTCTCTCACTCAGAAGTATTGTCTAAGATTTTTGGTGTATATGCAACTGATGAAATGCTTCCCTATTTATAGGGAAAAGATGGGCTTGCAGATGTAAGCAGTGACTCAAGCAAACACAAAAATTTCAATATTTAAACTGTGAAAGATATTTGGCCGGTTGGCCATATCTGCAAACTTTGACAATTTACCAAAGGAAGAAACATCTTCCTTAAAACATGGGGCTGGACCCCACGCTCTTTTACTTTTTCTCTACACCCACCCATCCCCACCTCCACCTCCACCCCCCGCGAAGAAATAGCAAATCTCCTTTTCCTTTTTGTAGTTACTTGCATAACTGAAACTGGCATTCCGTGGCAAGAAATATATAGCCGATTTACGCAAATGACCGGAGAAGTAGAGGACTTTAACGATTGAGCCTCTAGAGAATTGTATAATAAGGCCAACCAAGTACACTAAGCTCCCGTTATGCGCGAAATTCAGGGACAAAACTAAAGAGTTTTTCATTCCTATTTTCTACCTATCCAAGTTCGACACAGAATAGAATTAAAACTAACGTCAATAGAGAGCACGTTGGCATGCTGCTGGCCTTCGCACATCTGATCTAAGAGGTAAACTCAAGAGCTAAATTAATACATGCTGTGCATCAGAACAAATCTATAGTCAACATAGCCAATTAGCCAGATGCACAAAGGTAACCATAATAGAAACTAGTTGAAACACTAGCATGCCGAGTAGTTGGAAAACAAACAGATACCCCCAAGAAGCTCGCTGATTACCTATACCCCTAAAAATTAACTCCTTCATCCAAATTGTCTTCTCTCCGCTTAAAAAGACAGGAAAAATTCATTAGCAAAATCTATGAACAGAAATAAGCAAAACTTAAATGTAATTGTAACCTATAGCGGTATAGCCTGTACAACAGAACTTAGATGGGTAGGATACACCATATATTAATGACCGTGACGTCTAAATAGGGGTTCATCGGTCGTTACGGTATTTAGACATTTCGGTACAGTATTTTGGTATTCGATTTCTTAAAATACCAATACCGTACCTAATTAAATTCGGTATGTTTCGGTTTTTCTCCTTTCGGTTTCGGTTTATTCGGTATGATAACTTCGGTTTATTCTGTTCGAATACTAACTAGTGCATAAAGTCATAGACTATAATATTCCAAATTAACGTACTCAAAAGTACAAAACTAAAAACATTGTTGACAAAAATTTTGTCCAAAACGAGCAAATACCAACTTAGAGAGAGAGAGAGAGAGAGAGAGAGAACTGTACATAAAAAAATAAATTTGATCATTAGAAATGCCTTTTTACTTGCTTAGAGTTAATTGATGAACTTAAAGAATAAAGGAAAGTAAAATTTTAGATTTTTATATTTATGTTATAACTAATAATACGTGTATTGTGCAATATAATATATATTTCGGTATTTCGGTATTTCATTTTAAAATACCAAATACCATACCTAGTACCAATATTTTTTAAAACTTAAACCAAATACCAAAATATCGAATACCAAATACCAAATTTTCGATTTCGGTATGGTAATTCGGTATTTACCAAATTATGCACGGCCCTACGTCTGAAGCTTCAGGTGTGGCCACCGTTTTTCTCAAGTATACTACTACAAATAAAAAAATAAGTTGGTTCTGGCATCCTGGGAACCCACTGCTATCAGAAAATGAAAATCGTCTCATCTCAATGAGCTGTATATACAATCCGTTGCTCTGACTGATCAAGCCAAGAGAACAATTTGACCTCGTGAACCTGGAAACAACACCAAGAAGAAAAGAAGAAAAGAAGCAAATCATCAATTAGTAACTCCAACCCAAAGGTCTGCTGACGGCTGCATTTACATATTGAACTGTCAAAAACCTCAGTCATACATACAGATTTAGCGCATAAGGTAACAACCAGACACTTACATTGTTCATAGATCTCTTTGAAGAGTTGAAACATTGACTCAGCATCCTCAGCCATTTTTGACAACCTTTCTGCATTATTAACTGCTTCAGCTGCCAAAAAAGACCTCTCTTCTGCATCAGCTATCTTGTAAGCAGCAATCCCAACAGCTTCTTCCATTGTTTCACATGACACTTTTACAGCTGAATTTGGGGCTGGCCTTGGCAAGACATCTTTTTGTTTTGGAGTAGTTATTTTGGTTTCTAATGTTGCATCCTTAATTTTATAGCAATTCTGGACCTGCATTTCATCAAATAGAGAGAAAAATGCTAAAACTTCACTTCAAGAATGTGGGAAAGCAAGGTTTTCCTGAATTTCCCGTGTGTGAATACTACCATCCACCCCCCTCCCCCTTTTGGGGTGGATGGGGGTGGGGTTGCAGGTTTGCCAAAAATTCTAGTGGCTTGGAAGTGAAAGTGATGATTAATGGCACAGTTGCAGATAACGAGCCAAGACAAGGTTGTGTGAAAATAGTTATGTTTCCCTTAATCTTTGTTTTCTGTCGCAAAGAACTGAACATAAGATGCCATCACTCCGTGTAATTCAAAGAGCACAATTCCGATTGAAGGCTGATCTGCAATTACTTTGCAAGTTGGAACTTTGAAAGAACATGGACCTTCATTTTTTTCTGAAGGCTGCAATATCAGGCTTAATTAACCCAATGACTTCTGAGTTAAAGCTAAGTGCAATGACACTTAAGTGAATAAAATATGAGCTGATGAAGAATTGGTGAAGTTTCTCCCAGATAAGACAATAATAAAGCAATTTCAAGAAGCAGTCAGACTCTCGGAGCATGTGTGCAAATGAGCTGGAGTGAGCTCAAAGCAACAGTGCATTTGAAGAGTAAACCGAGAAGAGCTGAGAAAGAAAAAAAAAAGTGGGAAAAAAGGAAGAACAACAGACAAGAAAATTAGGTTCATTCATCAGCTACTCTTTACAATGCTTAACTTACACTATATAAAGGGCAAGTGGTGTCAAACTGGAATGATAGGACTAAGGCGGGGTCAAACTATAGTAATAGAAACTTGGCCTAATATCTTAATTCGTTACAGCATAGAATGCATCAATTGAACCACAGCTGTCCAAATTCCTCAAATTGAATAGTAAAACAAGTAGAATCATTCATCAACATGAGATACGTAGTAAATAATGAAGTAGATTAGTGTTGCAGTCAAGAAAATGCACCAAGAAGCTTACTAAGGGATGCAAAATTATTTACCCTTTCGAGTTTTCCTTTTAAAACAAGTCTTCTCAGCTTGGAACTTAATAACCTTCTAAAATTTTGTGGTACTTCATGTCGTTGCTGCAATAAAGAGCAGAATAGAGTCAACATCCTTTAATAAGTATAAATTCAATTAGTCAAAACGGAAGTATCACTAAAAAGTTGAAGATCAAAGAATAGAGAGGGATAGAGTCAACTTCCTTTGTCAAGTATAAATGCAATGAGTAGTCAAAAAGGAATTATAACAAAAACGTTACCAGAAGATCATACAACACTTTTTTTAGTTCATTTTTTTAAAAGCCAAACACAATGGATCACATGCAGCAGTTGGATCTATCAACAGATCAAAAATCTAAGCAAAAAGGGCATCACTTACTCTATTTGGATTCAGCATTAAATTTATACAACAAATGTGTGTCTGTATTACACCGAAGCCTCTTTTTCTTTAGTTATCAGTGGTCTCCAGCCGTCTGTCCAGCCCCACAAGCAAAGTTGCCATGGTACTCTTACTAGCCAAACATGGAAGTGGCCTCGCAGCCACACCAAATTCCGTAGCTGTAATTCAAACCTGGTATCCCCAGGTTGTTACTCCATACCTCAACCGTTCGTATGCATGGTAGCATAGGCTCACAGATTAAAGACAGGTTAAAGTATTTGTATGCCCAAAATCATGTTACTGCAAAACACACCTCAAGACATTTTAAAATATCCTTAAATTCAACTCCCTATTTTCAATTTTTGGAAAATAAACCACACTCCAGGAGTGAATGAAGTCATTTTCTCCTCATATATTTGCCCTATGAGATCTATAATGAAGTTTAGAATTTAAAACATTCTCAGCAAAGGGAAAAGAGGCTGAAAAAAAGAAAAAGGTTAACTTGAATTGCATATTTCAATGTTTTCTAAATAGAGGATGAGAACCTTAACGGCTGGCCAAGCACAAATCCCACAGGAAACTGAAAATGGTGGGAAGCTTCCCATGAATTGTCATAAACCTTTGGAAGATAACCATGAGTGTCAAATAAAAATATGTCTATTAACAAGGAGTACTAGATAAACATGTTGCCTTGCATTGCCTTGTTATCGTGGAAAAAACTAGGGCAAATCTAGAACCTAAGAGTCATCGGTACATTAAACAAACATATTGTTTGCTGAAGGAAATTGCCTCCGCATCACTGAACTAGTGCATCAAAAGTTCAAGACATAGTTACATATTGTTCATGTCCCAATTGTATCTAACATGGCATCTACATCAGTACAGAGACCAGTTTGCACCAAGAAGCTAACAAAGAGATAAAAGTTGATGCTTATGAAGCTAGAGCAATTCATGCAGCCCAACACGCCATGTCTAGTTCAAGTGACTTCTTTAAGTCTGAATTCATGTAAAATTCATTAAGATGTCAACTGGAAAGGCAGAAGAAGCAAAACCAAACATGTCAACATGAAGATCATGAAGCCAAATAAGCATGACTTTCCCATGGAAGTTTAATGCAATAACTATAAGCTGATTGAGCTCACCTCAATAAATCCCACAATGGCACCAAGATCACATCCATTTGAACACTTCATGGATGATAATGCTTCAAAAATCATATCATTATACCTAGAAGTATGACAGAGACATGAACATATGATGATGAAAGCCACTAAACTCGCATAATTTAGTATGAATTTCTACAACAGGTCTAAGGATGGGTCAGTAGTGGAGGTAAAAGCAGGCTGAGAAGATACATATCCTAAGCATTTTTAAGTTCAAATATAAATGTAGACCCCGACAGGATCTCATTGAGAAAACTCAAGGTGCCCAGTACCCACAATCCTTAAAAATTAACTATAGCCATTCTTCCCAAGCCCAACACGAGCAATATATACTTTCTCGACCTCAATATGGAACATGCAATAATCTCATATTTACTTTAGTAATAAATATTTGCTTTTCCATATTTCCACATTGTGGTTTTAACCTTATGTTGTATAGAATTTAAAGGAAGAAAAAAGAAAAATTATAACCTATGTTATGACCACATCAAAATGGACAAGTGTGTCATAATCTAACGATAAACTTCATCAACACCGCAACAAACCCAGTGTAGTCTCATAAGTGGGGTCTAGGGAGGGTAGAGTGTAGGCACACCTTACCCCTGCCTTTAAAAAGGCAGAGAGGCTGTTTCCAGTTGACCCTTGGCTCAGGAAGGATAGTGATAAACTTCAACAAACCAAAGATATAACCCAAAAGAAAAGATCCAGACATCTACGATTTTCAAATATAAGAAACGAATGCAGAAAGCAAACTTCCGAGGGTCTATTGGAAGTCGTCTCTCTACCTTCACAAGGTAGGGGTAAGGCTGCATACACACTACCTCTCCGACCCCACTTGTGGTATCACACTGGGTTTTTTGTTAATGCAGAAAGCCAACTGCTATACAAAAGATCCTATTGAAACAACTTTAACTTCTAGATAGTGAAAGACCAACCAGTACTGTCATGCAAGAAATGCTATTTCTATTTTTTTGGCCTATATTCGGCTACATTCTTTTGTATCTACCATCACAAATACACTTATGTAGTTTTCCTCTTTGCTTTCAGACACTTTTGTAGTTTTCCTATTTCCTTAGATTATTCCCTCTCCTTCTCTCCTTTTTCTGCAGGAGGTGGGGCAGGAAGAGGCGAGGCTAGTGGGGAGTGCAGGAGAAATTTCCTTCGCACGAAATTATAACTAGTTTCTTGCTCCCCTTTCAGCCAGCGAGAAGAAGGAAATGATACTAACAAGCAAGTTTTAACAAAAGTTATTTCCTGACAGAACTTTTGAAGAAGTATAAATGCATACAACAAATACTAAGTCTTGAAAAGTTCAACAATATAGCTGCCAAGCGTACAAGTAATACAAGAAGCTAAAAGGAGTCACCTACTTCGGAGCATTCTTGCTTCCTTGTGGGCTTTCGGGAGAACCATCCATGGCGTCATTCTCGGGCGCTGAAGTAATAGCCAAAGGAGTTTGAACAGTAGAAGGTACAAGTGCACTTATTGTCTTTGGTCTTGCACGAGAAAATCTAGATTTATCTTTAGAGCCTTGCGCAGCAGTGCTAAAACCCATATTTCGCCATTTATCCTATTCATAGAGACCAAAGAAAGTGCAATGACTATCATGTTGAGTCTGAAAACTTGCTAAAATCCTCTTCTGGATGAGAGACTGCCACATTTGCAATACAACAGAAATTGCAGAAGCAGAAATTCCACAAAGAGACTGAGATCTTAGCTCCAGGAGCAAAGGTTTCACTGCATATCTTATAACTAGAGTCCCACCTTTTTCTGATCAAGTTCCTTCACAACTGGAAAATCCAGTTAGATTAAGGATGTTGCACTTGTCTTAGTGATTGGAAGAAACAATACACTCTTTTTTGTAGCAATAAACACTTCTAGTATAGTTTTTTACCTAAATGGACATTGTCCAAACAAAATTTTGATAAGTATGTTAAAGAGGTTAAGTTTGGGCATAAGCACCAGCATAAATAATGTTCCATCTTTGATAAATTTTCCTCTATCCACAAGTTGTTACCTTGACTCCATATGGGTATTATAATTATATGTTGGTTTAAGGAAAGGTGGGCCAAACTAGACTTAAAGGTAACTTCTTCAGGTTGAGTTAATTAGGTTAAAGACCGGCCCATATGACTTTTAAGATTGAAAAATATTTCATCATGAGGGAAGTTAACATGATTTTGAAACAAACAAAAGAGACAAATGAAAGTCTTTTTTGCAATAAAGGAAGAATATAACATAGATCCCACTCCACAGTTATACTCCATACTCTGTCCTTCCCCTATGAAAAGGCAAATCAGGTCACTATCAATGAAAGCCAAATATATTAAGCATCAAAGGGAAAGGAAGGTGAAATGACATTTTCGCAGCAAACCTAGTCTTTCATTGCAATCTTAAGCCATCTCATTTCAGGGACAACACAGGAAATGATACTTCATCCGGCTGTATTTGGTATCCTTAGAGGTTAAGTCAATAAAGACACTATGTTCCCACGGCCACAATAGAGATATTAAGCAGATGGGAAAAAGGAGACTGTTCCACCTCAGGTCCCAATTGCCAGATGATTTGAGAAGGACCTAAAAGACCTATAATGTGAAGGGAAAACACACAGCCAAGGAACAGCCAGGGAAAAACCAAAGCACAAGGAATTTTATGAAAATTGAGAACAAAAAGTATACACATACATATCCAGAATGAATGTTATGTGGAAAGGAAGAACTTAATCTTTGGGAATGGGAGAGGTCATTTATCCAGAAGTTAACTCGTGATAGTGGTCCAGCCATATCTGGAAATTACCTGAAAGTGTTTGCTTTTTACCTCAAATTTAGATTGCCACTCAGCATTCCACATAATTGTATACCAACTTCAGCAAGTTTCCTATGAGTATGTAGTATTTTTAAGATTTTGAAGAGTGGAAAGATGAGAAAGACAATTTTTTAATTAAGTGTGACAAAGACAACACATGAAGGTGATGTTTTCAACGAAAAATATTACGGATGTATTATCAAACAAATATCAATGGGATAAACCAGGAGAGCAAAGGGATATAATTAGCTATACTGAAGTGTAAAGCAGCATGGTCAATAACATGCAACTCTGTCACCTATCAGAATGGTTGTCATATGAGCACACAATCAGGATGGTAAAGCAGATAAAGAAAACAAACCATAATCTAGTTTTACACTAGCATTTTCCACCTGAATAACCCCTAGAAGGGCCATCATAATCTACATTCTCTTAATATCCTACAAAGAGTGGTGTATAGCAGTATAGCAATTAGCACCATCAAAGAGGAAGTTGGCTGATAACTCTACTTCAAGTCCTCGCACATGTAGCAACCATATCTTTTCATTGCTACAAAATGAATATAGCAATATTTAACTCGTTGATACAAATAAAGGAGTTGCAATGCCCAACATTTATGATACAATAGACCAGAAACCACAACAGTTAGAAGCAGCCTCATGACATATGAACAATACTATACTGATGCTGGATATTCCAAAATAACACGAGGCAAAATCACTACGACAAAACAACACACATTGTAACATCAAGGGAAACACATTAACCCTAATCCTAAATTTCAACTTTCAAGTATCAACCCAAAACAAAAGTAAAAGAATACAACACACACAAACAAATGAATATACACACACAAAAAAAATAACGAGAAACCTTGAGGTCGATGTTGGAGCGATTAGTCAAAAAGCGCGCGAATTCAGGATCCCTGAGAATGTTCTTCCACCTTCCGGTTCCGTGCTTTGCCACACCAGCTTTTAGGGCTCCTTCTTCCTCCGACGTCCACTTCACTTTGTGGTTCCCCATCTCTCTCTCTAACGCTCAATCTTCTAGCACCTACGAGCGTTTTCTCTTTATATGTATGTATTGGAGGAATTGGTTTACGTGTTCTCGAAGAAGAATCCAGAAACTCTTTCGACAATGGCAGAACCCCGCAGTGGGGAATAAAAGCAGAACGTCAACAATGTTGAAGCCAGATTTTGTTAATCTGATATTTACAAAGAAAGAAATGAGTATTTCCTACTATTATAAAGGCTCCCGCCACAGGACAAATTCCATCAGTTATGGGAGGGTCCTTTTTTCACCTTATTTTATTGTAATTTTATATTTCGTGTATATTTAAAGAATTCCCATAATCAGTCCCAAGTCCCAACAAATTGACGCATAATTACTCTGTTTAAAAATTCAAACAATGAATAAAATTACTATGAGATAACGTGACACGTAGGGGTTTATGGTTCGGTTTGGGTTGATTTTTCTTTAAAAATAAATCAAATTAAGTAAGTTTATTTTTTAATTATTGGAACCAAATCAAATCAATTAAGTTGGTTTTTTATCAATTTGTTTATGTCGGATTTTCAGTTTTTTCGTTTATCTATCGGTTTTTCCTTAAATATGAGACATACACTACCAAATGCATATTCCTTCGACTATATTTTCAACATGACGCTATCAAACTATTTGTTCTTTGAGAAATCTATCATTTTCCAAGATATATTGATGATAACTGAATCAAATAGTGATGGATAATTTAAAGACTCAATCAAAAAAATATTATTTTTATCATGAAATAGATTATTGTACTTAGCAAAAGAAAATTACCAATCAAATAAAATGTAAAGAAAATGAACTAGATTATTATAATAGCAAAGAACTAGGCTAAAAGTGCAATGTACCATAAAATTTTAGAATGTACATTGGTGTAATAATAAATTTTAAATAGGTACTTCTATAGCCGGTTTGATTCAATTTTTTTATTTTTTTTATTAAAACCAAAACCAAACCAAATTTGATCGATTTTTAAATTCAAAATCGAACCAAATCAAAAAAAGTATTGATTTTTTTGGTGGGTTTGGTTTGGTTCGATTTTTTGGGTTTTTATGAACATCCCTATACTGCCACTAGACATGAAGTAGACATCATAGGGTAAACACTTACATGTATGGAGTGTTTATGTTAGTAAACTCTATTTGTAAACTAATTCTGGAAAAGATAGAATAATATATAAACAGAAAATGTAAACCAAACAAAAGTTAATCCGAGCTCACTGAATCGGTGTTTCCTTAAGGAAATTAATCTCCTCCTAGTACCCAAGGTTATGGATTATTTCCTCCCACGATAGAACGAATTACACACTGGTGTAGTGGTACTTCAAACCACAGTGTTTCAGCGAACACAAAGTTCGGTAGCAAATCACACTTATTGTTGCTTTCTTTGAAGTTAAAAGTATGCAGAAGAAAGGAGGAGAACTCAGAAAATCGTATGGAAAATCTGAGAGAATGGACTTGTATTTATAGTCAATGTTGGGCTGAAAACCGAAGAGGTGCAACTCTACAAAACGGCCGTTTATGCAAAACGGTCATAGCATAAATACCATAACATAAAACGGCTAATTTACGCAATAATAAACGTTGAATTGAAGAGGGAGGTTAATTTTCAGTTACACAACCGAAAAACTAAAAATGGATATCGAAAAAATGTTTAATATTCCGTTGGATTTAATATTAATATTAATATTCTATTATTAAAACGAATATTTAATAATATTTCTGCTAATATTTATTATTAACAAATAAATTTAGTCCAAAAAGTTAATCAATCAATCGATCATTTGACCGAATCTGAAGCCGAAGTCGAGCGAGCGACGACGACGACGGCGCGAGGCTTGCCTTCTTCTCAACTCTTTAAGAGCTAGAAGACGAGCAATTGCTTATATACCCATCAAAAACCTCTTGCTCTTCTAATATGGGACAATGTCCCTTTGTCAAGGGGGAACTTAAAATTTCATTTCCCTCCATTTTCCATTCACCCTCTTTTAAGCCATATTAATGCTTAAAAACCCAACAATCCCCCACATGAATGGGGAATGGCTATATCACGGAAATATGCATGAAAGAATGTGATTCGCAAGCAAGGATTAATTGCATCTGGATAAGTAGGTTTCCCTTTGTACTTTCCGTCGTGAACTTATGTCGGATATACTCGGTCAATCGGTAGATTTGATATCTTTGAACCGTCGAATTTTGGTGTATACCCAGACAACCATAAGTCGCACAACCAACCCTTAACCGCCTTTGGTTNTTGTTTTCAGCCATGAACACCGCCTAATTTCATAAGTGCGTAGAGAACTGGCCTTACAAAATTCTCCTTGAAGCGGCTAACACTTCACACTTACATAGGTGATTCCTAAACGTGTCATCCCGTGGATATACTATTTGATATACCCCGTATCAAATTTAGAAATCATTAAAAAGCCTTAATGCTTTATCCTTGGTACTGAACATTGTCTCATCACGAGAATGGACCAAAAGTTTAGTTAACAATGTTGAACCGTCATTAATGACTTTGTTTGATCTTCTTAAACCTAGATCTTGGGATCTCCAGTCTTCTAGGTAGAGTTAACGTCACAATGACTTGTTCTCGGCCATAGTCCCATTCCCCTTGATGATTTATCAACTACCTCTCTAGTTAGGCCTTTTGTATCGTATCCGACACATTATCACTTGACTTTACATAGTCAATCGTGATAATTCCTCTAGAGAGTAATTGCCTAACAGTTTTATGTCTTCTTCGTATACGACGAGATTTACCGTTATACATAACGCGCCCAGCCCTTCCAATCGCCGCTTGACTATCACAATGTATGCATATTGGTGCCAGCGGTTTGGGCCAAAATTGAATGTCTTCCAAGAAATTTCGGAGTCATTCAGCTTCTTCACTGGCTTTATCTAAGGTTATGAATTCAGCCTCCATTGTAGAGCGGTCAATACAAGTTTGTTTGGATGACTTCCAAGATACCGCTCCTCCAACAATAGTGAATACATATCCACTTGTGGACTTCGAATCAGCTGAGCCAGTGATCCAATTTGCATCACAGTATCCCTCAATCACTGCAGGATATTTACTGCAGTGCGAAGCAAAGCCCTGGGTATGTTCTAAATATCTCAAAACTCGTTTCGTTGCCATCCAATAAGATTGACCTGGATTGCTCGTGTATCGACTCAATTTACTTATAGCACAAGCTATATTTGGTCGTGTACAATTCATGATGTACATTAAGCATCCCAACACATGAGCATAATCAAATTGCGATATGCTTTGGCCTTTGTTCTTTGCTAATGCAAGATTCACGTCAATTGGAGTCTTTGCAACTTTAAACCCTAAGTGCTTGAAATTTTCCAGTACTGTCTTAATATATTGAGATTGTGACAATGTCAGACCTTGAGGAGTCTTATGGATCTTAATCCCCAGAATTAACTCAGCAACTCCCAAGTCCTTCATATCAAACTTGCTAGTTAGCATACGCTTAGTAACATTTATGTTGGCAATGTCATTACTCATTATCAGCATATCGTCCACATATAAGCAAACAATGACTATGTGATTTGGAACATTTTTAATGTACACACATTTATCACATTAATTTATCTTAAAACTATTTGACAACATTGTTTGGTCAAATTTCGCATGCCATTGTTTGGGTGCTTGTTTTAGTCCGTAAAGGGACTTAACAAGTCTACATACCTTCTTTTCTTTACCTGGAACCACAAACCCTTCAGATTGTTCCGTGTAAATTTCTTCCTCCAAATCTCCATTCAAGAAGGTCATCTTAACGCCCATTTGATGAATTTCAAGACCATACACTGCAGCTAATGCTACTAACATCCGTATGGACGTAATTTTTGAAACTAGAGAGTATGTATAAAAATAGTCAAGACCTTCTCGTTGTCTATACCCTTTGACTACAAGTCTTGCCTTAAATTTATCAACAGTGCCATCATCTTTTATTTTTCTCTTAAAAATCCATTTAGAACCCAAAGGTTTATTTCCAGGAGGAAGATCAACCAATTCCCATGTATGGTTGTTCAATATGGATTCTATTTCACTATTGACTGCCTCTTTCCAAAATAATAATTCCGAAAGAAGACATAGCTTCTTTAAATGTTCGAGGCTCATTTTTCAATAAGAAAGTCACAAAATCTGTGTCACGCCCCAAACTAGGGGAGGCACGACTGGCACTCGATACTATATTCGATCGAGTTACCCATTAGACATACTAGCTAACTAAACTGGGGGCCCCAACAGATCGGGCAGCACAACATCTCAAATACTAAGCCTGGACCATTAAGGTCATGACCTGAATAACAATACGCCATATAAACAAAGGTAGACGAGCCAAAATAATAAAATACTAGCTGGCCGACGAGGCCGCGATTGGAGACATACATGCCTACACACATATATATACATGCCAAGCCTATGGGCTGGAGACTGAAAGCTGCAAAAAGAAACCCAGAATACTATGTCCACAATAGCCTCTAAGAGTGTCATAAGCACTATCGGGATAAGGCCCCGACTATACCCAAACTATACAACAAAAGTAACTATCCTATGATAGCTCCAGGAAGAGGTGGAGCTTACCAACTCACAGCTGAACCCCGAAATCCTAGCGGAGGGGTCGATCGGAGACCCTACCTGGACCTGCAAGCACGAAACAAAATGCAGTGTCCCCAGGCAACGGGACATCAGTACGAATAAAAATATACTGGTATGTAAGGCAGAAAGTAGAATCATACATAACTGATGAAAAAAACGGTAATAGAGATACCACCTGACACTGAAACTATGATAGCCTCCATGGCCGACATCCGACCTCATAGTAATCTAATATGCATGGTATGCTCGTGTAATCGTATGTCGTGAATACATATATATTGATGCAAATGCATGACATACCCAACCAAATGCTAGCAATGGCGGTCTCTTCCGGTAGCTAACCGGTATCATATTGCCAACTTGTGGCCATCTGTATAATACATATAGTCTTTCGGGCAAATAGGCCCCTTACATCCGATTATAGCTCGAAGTCCATGCATAATATGCCATGTATGATATGAACTTTGAATGCACATAATAGGCCATAACAAGAACTTAGCCAATCTTGGCTCATTGGTACTCTTATTCTCATAATCTCATAATCACCTCCGTATCGCATACAATTGTCTCGTGGAACCTTAT